GGTTCGTGCCTCTCCACTGCCAAAACGTATTTAAAAATGAAAAAAACACCTGCAAAATGTTTTTAGCCAGTACAATAATACCATCCTTTCCAAACTGTCTACTGGTGATGGTGCCCATTGGCCATTTCTGGTGTTGTGTTTGGGAAATAGGCAGCGCGGCCTAGCGATTTAAGGCACCTGTATTTACGTACCTGTTTCTTCAGATGTGTGGATTCAGATCCCACTGCTGCCAAATATTGTTATTACATAAAACAACTTGCAAAATATGTTTTTCAGATTCTACAATAATAAAATAGATTCACAACAAGCTGTTGGTGTCGATGCCCATTGGCTATTTCTGGTATTGCTTCTAACATTGGTAACGGGGGCTGGGTGGTCCACGGTAGCGAATTAAGTCTCCACTTTCCTAGGAGGCGTGGGTTCAATTCCCGCCGTAATAAACTGCCTTCTTTTTACACAATGACAAACTGTAAAATGTGCTTCAGCCACGACGATTTTAATCAAATTTTAAAACGAGCTTTTGGTGATGATGCTCATTGGTGATTTCTGTTGCTGCTGTCAACGACTAGGTAGCGTGGCCGAGCGGTCTAAGGCGCTGGATTAAGGCTCCAGTCTCCTCGGAGGCGTGGGTTCAAATCCCACCGCTGCCACAGCTTGTTTTATATAAATCACAACCAGCAAAATATGTGTGTTAGCTTCGAAACGATTAAAATAAGTTCCCGACGAGATGCTGGTGATGATGTCCATTGGCCATTTTTGTTGCTGTGCCGTCAACGACCACATAGCTTGGCCGAGTGGTGTGAGACGCTGGATTTTTGCTTCATTCTCATCTGAGGAGTGAGGTTCGTGCCTCTCCACTGCCAAAACGTATTTAAAAATGAAAAAACACCTGCAAAATGTTTTTAGCCAGTACAATAATACCATCCTTTCCAAACTGTCTACTGGTGATGGTGCCCATTGGCCATTTCTGGTGTTGTGTTTGGGAAATAGGCAGCGCGGCCTAGCGATTTAAGGCACTGTATTTACGTACCTGTTTCTTCAGATGTGTGGATTCAGATCCCACTGCTGCCAAATATTGTTATTACATAAAACACTTCTTGCAAAATGTTTTTCCGATTCTACAATAATAAAATAGTTTCGCAACAAGCTGTTGGTGTCGATGCCCATTGGCTATTTCTGGTATTGCTTCTAACATTGGTAACGGGGGCTGGGTGGTCCACGGTAGCGAATTAAGTCTCCACTTTCCTAGGAGGCGTGGGTTCAATTCCCGCCGTAATAAACTGCCTTCTTTTTACACAATGACAAACTATAAAATGTGCTTCAGCCACGAAGATTTTAATCAAATTTTAACACGAGCTTTTGGTGATGATGCTCATTGGTGATTTCTGTTGCTGCTGTCAACGACTAGGTAGCGTGGCCGAGCGGTCTAAGGCGCTGGATTAAGGCTCCAGTCTCCTCGGAGGCGTGGGTTCAAATCCCACCGCTGCCACAGCTTGTTTTATATGAATCACAACCAGCAAAATATGTGTGTTAGCTTCGAAACGATTAAAATAAGTTCCCGACGAGATGCTGGTGATGATGTCCATTGGCCATTTTTGTTGCTGTGCCGTCAACGACCACATAGCTTGGCCGAGTGGTGTAAGACGTGGGATTTAGGCTTCAGTCTCTTCTGAGGAGTGAGGTTCGTGCCTCTCCACTGCCAAAACTTACTTAAAAATGAAAAAAACACCTGCAAAATATGTTTTTAGCCAGTACAATAATACCATCCTTTCCAAACTGTCTACTGGTGATGGTGCCCATTGGCCATTTCTGGTGTTGTGTTTGGGAAATAGGCAGCGCGGCCTAGCGATTTAAGGCACCGTATTTACGTACCTGTTTCTTCAGATGTGTGGATTCAGATCCCACTGCTGCCAAATATTGTTATTACATAAAACAACTTGCAAAATATGTTTTTCAGATTCTACAATAATAAAATAGATTCACAACAAGCTGTTGGTGTCGATGCCCATTGGCTATTTCTGGTATTGCTTCTAACATTGGTAACGGGGGCTGGGTGGTCCACGGTAGCGAATTAAGTCTCCACTTTCCTAGGAGGCGTGGGTTCAATTCCCGCCGTAATAAACTGCCTTCTTTTTACACAATGACAAACTGGAAAATGTGCTTCAGCCACGACGATTTTAATCAAATTTTAAAACGAGCTTTTGGTGATGATGCGCATTGGTGATTTCTGTTGCTGCTGTAAACGACTAGGTAGCGTGGCCGAGCGGTCTAAGGCGCTGGATTAAGGCTCCAGTCTCCTCGGAGTTGTGGGTTCAAATCCCACCGCTGCCACAGCTTGTTTTATATAAATCACAACCAGCAAAATATGTGTGTTAGCTTCGAAACGATTAAAATAAGTTCCCGACGAGATGCTGGTGATGATGTCCATTGGCCATTTTTGTTGCTGTGCCGTCAACGACCACATAGCTTGGCCGAGTGGTGTGAGACGCTGGATTTTTGCTTCATTCTCATCTGAGGAGTGAGGTTCGTGCCTCTCCACTGCCAAAACGTATTTAAAAATGAAAAAAACACCTGCAAAATGTTTTTAGCCAGTACAATAATACCATCCTTTCCAAACTGTCTACTGGTGATGGTGCCCATTGGCCATTTCTGGTGTTGTGTTTGGGAAATAGGCAGCGCGGCCTAGCGATTTAAGGCACCTGTATTTACGTACCTGTTTCTTCAGATGTGTGGATTCAGATCCCACTGCTGCCAAATATTGTTATTACATAAAACAACTTGCAAAATATGTTTTTCAGATTCTACAATAATAAAATAGATTCACAACAAGCTGTTGGTGTCGATGCCCATTGGCTATTTCTGGTATTGCTTCTAACATTGGTAACGGGGGCTGGGTGGTCCACGGTAGCGAATTAAGTCTCCACTTTCCTAGGAGGCGTGGGTTCAATTCCCGCCGTAATAAACTGCCTTCTTTTTACACAATGACAAACTGTAAAATGTGCTTCAGCCACGACGATTTTAATCAAATTTTAAAACGAGCTTTTGGTGATGATGCGCATTGGTGATTTTTGTTGCTGCTGTCAACGACTAGGTAGCGTGGCCGAGCGGTCTAAGGCGCTGGATTAAGGCTCCAGTCTCCTCGGAGGCGTGGGTTCAAATCCCACCGCTGCCACAGCTTGTTTTATATAAATCACAACCAGCAAAATATGTGTGTTAGCTTCGAAACGATTAAAATAAGTTCCCGACGAGATGCTGGTGATGATGTCCATTGGCCATTTTTGTTGCTGTGCCGTCAACGACCACATAGCTTGGCCGAGGGGTGTGAGACGCTGGATTTTTGCTTCATTCTCATCTGAGGAGTGAGGTTCGTGCCTCTCCACTGCCAAAACGTATTTAAAAATGAAAAAAACACCTGCAAAATGTTTTTAGCCAGTACAATAATACCATCCTTTCCAAACTGTCTACTGGTGATGGTGCCCATTGGCCATTTCTGATGTTGTGTTTGGGAAATAGGCAGCGCGGCCTAGCGATTTAAGGCACCGTATTTACGTACCTGTTTCTTCAGATGTGTGGATTCAGATCCCACTGCTGCCAAATATTGTTATTACATAAAACTTGCAAAATATGTTTTTCAGATTCTACAATAATAAAATAGATTCACAACAAGCTGTTGGTGTCGATGCCCATTGGCTATTTCTGGTATTGCTTCTAACATTGGTAACGGGGGCTGGGTGGTCCACGGTAGCGAATTAAGTCTCCACTTTCCTAGGAGGCGTGGGTTCAATTCCCGCCGTAATAAACTGCCTTCTTTTTACACAATGACAAACTGTAAAATGTGCTTCAGCCACGACGATTTTAATCAAATTTTAAAACGAGCTTTTGGTGATGATGCGCATTGGTGATTTCTGTTGCTGCTGTCAATGACTAGGTAGCGTGGCCGAGCGGTCTAAGGCGCTGGATTAAGGCTCCAGTCTCCTCGGAGGCGTGGGTTCAAATCCCACCGCTGCCACAGCTTGTTTTATATAAATCACAACCAGCAAAATATGTGTGTTAGCTTCGAAACGATTAAAATAAGTTCCCGACGAGATGCTGGTGATGATGTCCATTGGCCATTTTTGTTGCTGTGCCGTCAACGACCACATAGCTTGGCCGAGTGGTGTGAGACGCTGGATTTTTGCTTCATTCTCATCTGAGGAGTGAGGTTC